GACACAAGCGTACACAAATGGTTATGCTTCCGATCCGTTGCAATTAATACCATTAGTAATAACGTACTACGCCAGAGAATGAATTAGCTTCCAAATGAAAACAAAAATTTCAGGTGACATGGCTGTTCAATAAGACACACTTTGAGAAAATCACCTAATTTCATGGAAGACAAGTCACAACATGGAATTGCATAAGCAGAAAGCTGAGTCAAAGATCAAAGAAGGAAGTGCTTAGAAAAACAAGATGTAAACATGTAATGCATGAAAAGCATTGGAAACATATTGAGAAAGTGTCAAGACCGAAATTCGTTAAAGATTAATGGTCTACAAATCATGATCCACCATAGTTTATGGACGCAATCAACTAGAAAGCACTACAAAATCAGTTTGTACTCTCAATAAACAAACAAATTGGTAAACATAGAAAATCAGCTGTATTCCAAAACATTTTATCGATTACTGTACTGATATTCAATATCCTTAAATTTTCTATCTGTCTATTCATGTGATACATGACCTGAGCAGTATTGATCACAGTTGAATCAGACCATGTACATCATTCAAAAAAATCTATTCTGAATAAGTTCAACTGAGTTAAGCTGAGATAAACAGTATAACGATTTCACATCATGATCGTCGATAAATGAAATCATAATAAAATGTTGTTTTGCATGGCATATGAGGTAAGCACACTTGATATCCATTCAAATCATTAGGGTTTGATTACCATCTGACCATCTCTTATATTTTTCTTATCAATAAATAAGTAGTCCGAATTTGCAGAGTTCATCATGACTCCATGTTATTATATTTGAATAATTAGATTGAGTGTAACACTGTCAACATGACAAAATGCTTCTCTTTAATTGTTAAGTGAAACGTTAAGTTTATAAACATTAGAATTATTACTATCAAAAATACTATTTATGTGTAACTTATTTCTCTATATCATCTTATTCCATAGTCTAGAAGTTTCGATCGTCGCATTTGACTACAGTCCATATCCAAAATTAAATCAGATTGCAGTGTATTATCGATATATTGTATATTTGATCAGTTGGTTACTGGTAACTATATTCACCTTGGTCAGTTATGGAATCATCCGATTGGTCAGGTGTAAAGACAAAGATACTGAAGATTATATGTATGGTATTGAATAAATGTGGAATGAAAGTTTCTTAATTGTCAACCTCCTACCTTTTGAGATGCTGTATAACAAGAAATTTATTCATGTTTGAATAACTTCTGCGACTTATTTATGTATTCATAAGATTTTCCCCAGAATGATATGCGGAAATCTTTAATATCAATAATGTATATTTAAAAATACATTATTGCTGAACCTTGTTTAACTTTGAATTCATTTTCAGTTTGTTTTTCGCATATCAATACGAAGTACACCATAGTTCGGGTAATTATTCACTCAATTGTCAACAATTTATGTGACTTCACCTCAACGTTTGTAGAAATAATCACTTTTAGTGACGCATCCAGTCATGACTGACTACGATCACTACTAGATACTAATTACAAGCCAGCGAAGATACAATAATCTACACAGGTGAATACATCTGCCCGAGATTTCGAGATATCGACAGAATACCGAAATCGTACCGGAGATGAGAAGCGAAATTACAGAAGTTGCGGAGCATATATGACAGCAACACAAACAGAACGTCTCTGAGGTGTCTAGCGTAGGATCCTAAGTAAGGATTTGGATCCCCCTTGCGAGTTGGACTAGTCTAGGAATAAATCTAGATTTATCGGAGAGGGCACTTTCATCGACGTGGGCCTGATTTGAGACGATCAATGCAGATCGTATCAACCAACCTTGAAGGTCTTTACGTGACGAGAGATCACTTTAATAGATCTTTGATTAGGCTGTCGCAAGTCTTACGTACCGAATCTACTCCTAGGAAAACATATTTACAGATTAATAACTCCCGAGGAAGGGCAAAATGTAGAAGTTATATTCGAGTTGACAAAGAAGGCAGTGCTCGCAGGTACGCAGATTGTGCTTGGACGTCATCTCTTTCGTATAAAATCGCTGCTCCATGGTGTGAGAATATTCCCCGGACATATGCAGTGTCGTGTCGTATACATGTTCAGACGCAGAACATTAAATATCTTCCTATACTGCTCTATAATTTCAGTATGGTCTCCAACAGAAATGGAATGAAGCGGAGAGTCTCATGGTCGGTAAAAGACGAAATTATACATTTAGCAAGTAACCTGTCGAACTCAAGCTTAGCGAATACTAATTTGTCCAGTGACAGTCTGTGAGGTTTTCCCGTAACTAGGGGGTTTCAGGTGACGATGTGGCTTGCCAAATAACTAATCGCCGACAGACTCTCCTTGGTTTCGTTATTCTGGGGTATTCATCAAATATAACATAAAATAAACGATCATGAAAATGAAATACACCGGTGATTTAGCATACATCTTTTGAAGTGTCAGAACCATTGGATAAAATATTCAACAAATTATCGAATACCTGCAGCCTATGTTAATCAAACGGCAATTCATAGAGCTTCAGGGAAATCGAAACGGAATGTGACTTTAGGCACATCAGCAGAGATGAAAGTCTGCAGATACTATCGTCCATTATACAGGTCTTTCGTTAGCTATCAAGTACCGTAGGTAGGAATGGCTGAACCATTCGCAGTGCGTAGTCAAATTGCTATAGCCTTGGACTTGCTGACAGAAGAATAAATAACAGAGAATTTGAGACCTGTAGCCACTAGGTACTTAGCGTTAGTGCAAAATTCGTGCACGTAAAATAAACGAGCATCGTCAGGTGACGTGAAGGAGACAGGTGAAAATGTAATGACCTGCACTTCAGAGTCTATTATACTATAGATATTCACTATTTCGAAACGTTGTTGCATGTATAATTTATATTAAAGTACATAATAGTAGTGTTGCAACATGATAACAATGGTGATAGATGAATAACAGGCTCACCGTAATTGATTATTTTTGACAAAATGTCAGTTCACGAATTTTATTGGCGAGAGTGACTATGATCATCACCACCAAAACAGTTGCATGCCCCCCTAACAAAGAGGGGCGAAGTTACAGAGAAACTGGTGCCGAAATGGCAGCTACACAAACAGGAAGTTTGCGCGTACAGAGTGTAATAGACAAAAAGTTCAATAAAACATTCACTGGTACAACTGTTCATAATAGTGAAAGTATCTTTTAAATAAACATCATTTTCTTATATAAGAATTCAGTATACACTAACAATTAACTCTGTGTTAGGTCTGGAGA